GAGGCGCTACTTCACGGTCAGGGTGGCTAGGGTCTGGAACCAACTTCCAAGAGAGGTGGTGCAGGCTCCTACCCTGGGGGTTTAAGAGGAGGTTAGATGAACACCTTGCTGGGGTCGTCTGACCCCAGTACTCTTTCCTACCATGGCAGGGGGTCAGACTAGATGATCTGCTAAGGTCCCTTCCAACCCTAGAAACTATGAAACTATGCTTGAGTATAGTTTTCATTCAGGAAGCAAATCTTAAAACAAGTTCATGACTTCTTATTTGTACAGAGACAAAATATATATATATATATTTTTTTTTTTTTTTTTTTTTTTTTTTTTTTTTTTTTTTTTTTTTTACAGAATTTATGGACAGGCTGTTTTTTTTTATGGACTGTTCATAAATTTAGGGACAGTTGGCAACTGTGCTCCAGTATGTTTAGCCTATTCTATGCAGTTCAGCAACTGAATAAATGTAGAGACTGATAGATACAAAGGCTGCTACAGAAAGAAGAAACTGAGAAGAACCTACACTTATATACTGTATGGCTTACACTAATTACTGGGTTGTTTTGTTTTGCTATTTTAAATCTACATTCATTTTCTTCTTGTTTCTTCAGACTGTAATTTTTTTGAGGGAGGGTTCATTTTCTATTCTTTGTTTATACGTTACTTCTCATAATGTCTCAGATCCTGTTTGGAGACTTCAGGTGCCATTTCAAATACAAAATATGTACAGGCATTATAGCAAAGCCTTATATAAAATGTGGTGTTCCAAACATGCTGAACAGCTAGGAAGAATACCGCAAGACCAAAATGCTGTAAATACGGATGCTGAACTACTAATTTCAGTATGAACTCTCCTGGCTATGGGAAGATAAAAAACTGAACAAGACCTACCATATATAGCCCTCAAGAATTATTTTTATGAAGAGAAGTGTTTCAATATTCAATTTTCTATTTTTACACTGCTCTGCAAGTGAAGGTAAATCTTTAAACTCCATGCCTGTCAAATCCAATAGATATCCAGAGCTTGGAAATCTATTATTAGCATCCACTGTTAGATTTTCTGTCAAGGTTTAACATAGAATCACTGCAATATACTTAGTATGTTTTCAGTTGCACAGAGTGGCTATGACTTTACTTAGAATCAACAAACATTCAAAAGGCCAGATGAAAACTAATTTTCAGTTATACAATTAATAAGCAGTAGTATGCGTTTCATATGAGTACATTTGTTATTATAAAATTAATGAGCTTTGAGTAGAAGCTCAGAAGTTATACCTACATCTATTTTGTAATGAACCTATGAGCTGTCAGACAGAAGCACACAAAGAAAACCAAATATGACTAGGGCAACAAAATGCACTAAGTATGTGAACTGCATTTTCTGGGCTCCCCTATTAATGGTACAAAAAAAAAAAATGAAACTATGGTGCAGTTGTCTATTCAAATGGAGAAAAATGATGTAGCTATCAGGAATGGGCACTCAGACAAGAAAATACAAAAGTAATACCATACACAAGACTGAAGCATTTTAAAATAGGGTTATAATAAAAATCAAATTAGCAAGTAAGATCTGGAGAGAACGCCTAGCCAGTAACACAAAATGGTTAGAATTGTTTTTAATTAAAAAAAACAATTCTTGTCTGTTTTATTTTCTGATGAACTGTACAGCTTGTTGCTCTCTCTCACCAAAAATCAATAAAGTGGACTGCTACAGTTTAAAGAAATTCTCAAAAAAAATTTTTTTTAAATAAAAGCAGTCACACGCATATATAAGACTAGCTTCATGCCCCCACAATGGTGCTCTGCAGTGCAAGAAGAGCAGTACTTAGGCATGGATCCTCAAAATTAGATTCTTCTATGGTTATACTGTATATGTATATTTGTGTGTGTGCATGCGTGTGTTTTTATTTTATAAAAGAGGGGGGAACTTTTTATTTTTTTTTTTTTTTTTTTTTAAGAAGGTCTTTAAAATGTAGCAGTCCACTTTACTGATAGATCCTCAAATCAGATTCCTCTATAGCTTGGAAGCTCTATAGAAATTGACACACAGACTTAGAAGAAGAGACTCATGCCAGTCAACAACTCCTTCCAGTTTGGAAATGTTAGCAAAGGATTTCAAGACAGAGTCATGTAGTCCCTTTGGCAGACAGTAAATATGGAAGACCAGAATTGATAGAAGATGAATCAAAAAAGAAAAAAAAAAAAGGAATACCCTTGGCTATTTCAAATGCGAGAGCCAGGTCTCAGACATAATGGTCCACATTCCATATATACAGAATACCATCTATACGGAATACAAAGTAAGGGTAACCTCAAAAACTTTTTCAGGATATTCTCAACAGTGGAAAGACAACTACTCCTCTACTTCCAAAGGCTTCCTTGGCCTGCCCAGCTTCTGTATCAAAGTTAAAGAAACGTACATATCCCACATATATTGTGATTACAATTATAACAAGCATTAATGATTTGGAAGATGGGATTCATTAATGATCCATTAATTATTTGAATGATGAGACTACGTGTATGCTTAGCAAGTTGAGTGGAATTACAGGCACTCTGTCCAGAGCCACCTGGACAGACAGGAATAGTGACCTGCAATCAATCAGACGGGATGCAAAAAGGTCAAGTACAAATTCCTGCATGTGGAATGGAATAACCACATATACAAATACAGACTGGGGAATGGCTGATTAGGCTGCAGTACTGCAGAGAAGGACCTGCAGGTTATGGTGGACCATAACAGGGCAACAAAAATGATTAGGGGCCTTGGAGGCATGTTTACAAAGAAAGGCTGAAATATCTAGGATTATTTAACCTAAAAGAAGAGAGGATTGAGGGGGAATTTGATAGCAGTCTTCAAATACCTGATGGGCAGCTACTGATGGGATGAATATGGACTTTTCTCTGTAGTCCTGTCTTCTGTAGCTACAAGCAACAGGTCTCAAGATGCAGCAGGGGAAATTTAGGTTGGAGATTAGGAGGAACTTTGACTATAAGAGTGGTCAGGCATTGGAACAGGCTACCTAGAGAAGTTATGGATTCTCCATGCTTGGAAACTTTCAAGAGCAAGTTGATGGAAGCTGAACCCTGAGTGCTGGGGCAGAAGCTGCTTGGCTGCAGCTTTCCACACAATGCATCACAGCTTCCCTCACCTACCTGCTGCCCAGAGCAGAACAGCAAGGGTAGGGGGAGCAGTTGCAGGAGAGGGGCAGAACCAAGCAGTACTCAGGCAGCTGCAGCCGCACTGGGAGCAGCTCTGCTGGAAGCTGTAAACAATGGCCAGAGGTGGGACCATATGGCAGGCACAGGTGGGAGTGCAGCACAGGCAACCACAGATTGGATACAATCAATGGTGAGTGCCTGCCCATGGGCCAGATCCAATCAGTTAGTGGGCTAGATCCAGCCCATAGACCATATTTTGCCCACCCCAGTCTTAATAAGGTTCCTTCCCAACACACTTTCCTATGACACTATAATGAACTGGATACTGGATTGGAGAGGCAGCCTCAAATATGGGGAATCTCAAATCAAGCCCCATACAAACCACCATGTTCTCTTCATCTTGTCTCTGATTCTCCACATCAATCAGTTCCTTAAGAAAATTACTTCTGCTTACTAAGTATGAAGGAGCCAGGCAACAATGGGATAATATTGTTTTTAAGAAGAGGCACAGAAAAAAAATTATGAAGACAATCAAGTGACTAAACTATTGAAACCTATCCAACAAGATTAAAGTGAGGCTTTATTCTTACTGTAATCATACACACAAATGCTTTTACTGAAAGCTAAAAATGCTTAAATGAGTATCATTACCATCACCTTGAATACCTGACACAAAATCAGCTACTATGCAACAGCAACTCAAATCAGCCGACCTTAAGTTACTTTCTTACAAAGGGAATTAAAAAAAAAAACCTCACAAGAAAATATAATTTTTCTGTTGTTCTCCCCTTGAACGTTAAATTATGAGCTTCATCCGAAAGTGCTAGAATCTGAGATTATCATTTACATTACAATACCACCTTAAATTCTGTCTGGACATGCCCTTATTGTTATCTTTTGTCTATAATTAATCAATGGATTACAAAACACATTTCTGAGATGGCAAAGGCCAAATTTTTTAATCACAACATGAGCAGCCAACAGCCATATCTACCTACAAAAAGACAAGCACTTTATATTGAGCAGCAAAAATAATTTTCCAGAGCACTATCAAAGATTTCTACTATACCTCAATTTTCCAAAGACACACATTTAAACATTCTTTTGATAAGCAAATAGTTACCTGTAAAACAACTTATATGGCAGGTGAAGTGAGTGACAAGAGTCAGCTTTCATTGTTTGCAAGCTCCATGGTCCGTCCTACTGTGCTTTTCCCCCCAGGGAATTAAACACCAAAATTCAACATCCTGGCTTGAAGTGCACCAGTTAGACAACCTTGGAATATAAACAGTGATAGCCAACCTTTCATTTGTTTTATTCATTCTCTGCTAAGCAAATAGCTCTTATGGGTGGAAGAAAGATTACAGTATGTGCATGTCCCAAGAAATAAGATGACAGAAGGAATTAAGAGAGCAAGCTACAGGGTGACTCTTTGATGTGAGGCTTCTTGGCTGTACTCATGAGTAGACTAATCCAAACTACTGCAAATTAAAAGGCACATCTTGTCATTTTAAAAAAGACATACCCATGAAAATTTAGCAGCAGAAGCATAAATGAGGATAATCTTACCTACAATAGAATAAACATACTGAATTCTCACTGAAATTATATTATTTCTATAGAGAATAAAATACAAATGGCAATTGATAGACAAATAAATAAATACTCACCACCATATTATAGGCCTCTGGAACTTCAATTTCAAACTGAAATTTTCCACCTTGGTAATAACCCTCATCTAACAAAGAAGAACACAAAACAATGGAATTAAATTAAAAGGCAGCAGCAAATACAGTGTACTTTGTTATTACATAGATTATCATGTGATTTGATCACTGATGTTATATTGTCAAGCAATACACTTATCTTGCTCAGGAGAAGAAAAAGAAGTATGGGCACAATTGTAAGTCTCCTAATTCTGCTGTTAGGTCAGGGATATGACACTACAATTAAATCAAAAGCAAGAGTATGGATTCAGGAGAAGTTTGCTTGTGCACAAGGCTAGAGATGGATGCGATGGAGCAAGAAGAAAGAAAAGTCTCTCCTCCACATACTTCTTTGGGTTAAAAAGCTGGCATCAAATCAGAAATAACAAGAGTACAATCAACCCTTGGAAGAAACAAGAGAAGAAGCCAGAGCAATTCCATTTGTTGCAAACTCACCTGTGAACCGAACACAACCTATTATTTGCAGAAAATGGCATTCTCTTCTTGTCTCAAGAGTTGGTTCTAAAACCACTGAAAGCTATGGGAAATCTAACTTGAAGTTTAACCTTATTTACTAGCACATTGTTATTCTACTCTTAACTTAGCCAGCTGCAACTTCAATAACCAAGGCTGCCCGCAGATGTTACACACACACACTTTATTTTAAACTCTATACATTTCCCAGCTGAGCCCCATGCATGCCTAGAAGAGGTAGCACATTAGTTGGACCTGGCTTGCCTGATGTCTATAAAGATCAGGTGCTTTAGCAGGGCTTTTTGGGTGCTTTTATCTAATAGCTGACTGAATCAGCTTTAGCTAAAAACACCAAAATGCCCTTCTGAAGTGCTCGATTTACACAGATGCTGCAGAGGCGGTTTGAAGAAACACGCTGCGTCTTCAGGTAAAGCACAGTTGGTTTACTTGTTTTTTAATGTCTTCAAGCAGCCCAAAATTCCAGTTAAGAAAATACAGCGTACTCTTCTTTTATGCATCCTGGATAAGTGCACAATTCATTTACTGCATGACTTAATGGCAGCTCCAATTGTTCACCTATTACTACCATTTAATAAAAGCTTGTATATGTATAGGCAGCAAAAACATTTAATGACTAAGTGCATAGGAATTCCTTGGGTCCAGAACAGCACCACAGTGCTATAAACAATGCATGTCAGTACTGTGGTAGCAGCAGCCCCAAACTGGACTAATTCCCTTCATTTTCAGGGTTTCTAACAGTTTGGGAGTTACTAGCTGAAGCCTTAAATACAATGCAAGCTTGCTAATACTACAGCAATGTGTACTTAATGAATACTGATTGTTTAAGCTTATTGTATTCTGGGTAAGTGCAGAGCCTTAATTAAAGGGAAAATTAAAGGCAAACCTTCAAAAATTAGATTCGATACCTGGAAAATTATATGGAAAGTTTTATAAATTTGTTATATAGAATGTAATTATTGGGGGGGCAGGGGGTCCATCTTATATTCAAGAACATATGGTAACTCCATGCTCTATACCAGCTGTGATGCTTGGGGTATATTTCAAAGGTTTATATCTATACATCCTGAATAGCCACATGGCACAGGAAAGAATTGCACTATAGAAGTGGTCTCAGATAAAAATTAATAATAATAATTACCGACTTCAAAATGCCAAGGTGAATTCAATTGTGGTCTACAGTTTAAGACTTGTAACACTAACCTTTTGAAAGGTACTCTTTTAATAGCTAAACTAAAAAATGGCAATATTAAGGCATGTCAAGGGAAATAACCACCTCAATTAAATCTGAGGCAGATGAGGAAGACTGACTCTTTCCTCCAGAAGATACATATTTTTATACACTATCACTGAGCTGTTAGAATGAGAGGTGCCTCAGACTGACATCTCATGCCACTTTGAGCTTGGACAATTCTGGGGGGAAATACTAAATCAACTCTGCTGTTCAGTTAAAAAACAAACAAACAAACAAAAACAGTGATTGTTTGGGTCCTAAAAACACAGATAAGTTTGGTGGTTCTTTTATTCTTGTTTTACAATTTTAAAAACCTAAGTTTTTCCCCAATTTTTATTATGTTCACTTGTTCAGGTGTTTAGGTCAGGCAGCTCAAGATTCTGAAACTGAATTACGTACAGCTGAAAATAGACATTTATTCTGATCAGATTTTAAGTGCCAGCACTTCAGCTGTACAACTATAGATACATTAACAAAATGCTAATTAAAAAACATATAAAAAAAAAATCACTCCTCTTTTTTGGTAGTTTTGTTATGGAGGCAAAGTTAACACAAAGAATACCATGACCATTTCATGGAGCATCTCTCAGTAACAGTGCCTTTGTTCAGCTCAATTTATAGTTACACATGTAATCTATTAGGATACTTAAGACTTGAGAGAGAAAAAAAAAGAAAGCTATTGTTGTTTTATATATACGACACCTACATTTCATATTGGTGACTATATGAAAAAGTTAACTGTAACTTTCCGTAATATTATGAAAAAGCACCTGTTAAGCTTAACGACAAAAGTTAGTACAGATCAAAAGATCTGATGACCTTCATGTGTATTTGATTAATACTCTCTCTGCACATAATCAGTTTCTAATATGACATTTCAGTCACAGGTTTAATACATTTAATCTTTATCATATTTTGGGTATAATGAAAGGATAGTCTCTAAATGTTCCAATCTAAGAAAAAAAACATGAATTAACTATTTGACAGTGGAGAGATTGCCCCTCTTCAGTTAGTTAGGTGGTATTTGATCTTTGCTAATAAACAACAGTGACATCTAGTGTCTGCTTGGTATCAATACCACAGGTTACATTGGTAATCATTTAAACCATATAAGACTACAAACATATAAGATGCGTTTCCTGTGCTGGTCAGCCTGTTGTTTACAGGCAACAAATTAATGTTGTCAGAGACACATTTTTAAAAGCCTGGTGTAAATGAGAAAGCAAAACACAATAAACCTAGAACCAGAAGGAGGAGGCTAGTATTTCAACATAAATTATGTTAGACACGAACTTCAGCACAATGTAACATATTTTAGCTATAACACATTTTCATGTAGACTTTTATAAATTCTCAGATACAGGCAAAACTTCAGCAGAAGCTGTATCAAGCCCTTAACTTGCTGGTCTTCTGTACAGATGCACCCAAAAGCGATATGGTGATTTACAGAGCTTTCTGTACTACAAAATTTAAACAGAAAAACCTCAAGTTGCATTAACTGCTATGAAATGTATTGGAAAATAAATTTTGCAAGCAAATAGATCATTAACAAGAAGTAAGCAGTTTTCAACATGAGAATATATTTGATTCATTCATTTGGGATTTATTTCACAATGTTCTAGCAAAGGTTTTTATAGTACTTTGGTTTAAAAAAAATAGCATTTGCTGCATGAGACCCAAACACCACACTTAAATACTTGAAAAGCAAGATATATCCTTTATTATGTACGTTCTGACATGTGTCAATTTATGACTGCTACTGTATTATTAAATGTGTCAGCTATTCAACTCTCCATGAATTAGTTTTTTAAATTAACTTTGACAGATCTGCAACAATATATGGGTGCTCATAAAACACAGCTTACATGTCAAAAATAAAATCACTACTGAAAATAGCTTGAGTTGCACCTGAACAATTAAAATAAGATACTTAAAACTGAAACTAAATCAAATTTAGCCCAACAAAATTAATAAATGA